CGATAGTAGGACAGAAGTAGATGCTGAGATAGATTTATCTTCCTGAGCATTCTCAGGAAATACAGCCTCTTCTGTGCCTTCTTCACAAGCATGTTAGCATTCATAGTCCATGAGAGGTCCTTCGAGATATAAATGCCCAGAAATTTAAAACTACCCACCCTCTCCACCTCCTCACCATTTATGTACAATGGTAAATGTACATCTCTCTTCCTCCTGAAGTCAATTATAAGTTCTTTAGTTTTTGTGGTGTTAAGTGTGAGATTATATATGAAAGCTGGAGAAAGTAAAGTGTTAAGAGTTTTTGAGGCATACACAGAGATGCAAAATGTGAGTGGATGGGTGAGGGCTATTTTCCTGACCAAAATCAAAGATCCAGAAAACACTGAGAGCTTCCTATGCTTTACAATCATTAGGGCTTTTGGGATGGCAGGGTGCATTCAGAACAAATATATTAATCTTCTATTTTTCTGATTGGACTATCATATGAATGAAACCAGCAGGAATCTATCATTGGCAGCAGTCAGCTGGGTGATTTTGGGCCAGTCATGCTTTCTCAGCCTAACGCATCTCAGAAGATTGTTGTGCGTAAATTAAGAGATGGGAGCATTTTATTATTTATCAAATGTATATGGCCACCCATCTCAAAATATAATGCACCAAATATATATAGTATGCCTTGAATTGGCCAAAACCAAGGCTCAAAGAAAATAAAATACAGTAATCTGTGAAATCCCAGGAGTCCTATCAGAAGCAGCAGACAGTAACTAATTTCTTAAAGCTAGATAAATTTTTTAAAGAGTTGAACCCTCATTGAAAGGAGCAATTAATGACTGGTTTTCCCTTTGGCAAGTAATGCAGGGTTGGAGGGTAGAGGACAGCAGTGAATCTATCAATTACCACTGTGAAATTAAATTATGTGAGTCAAGAAACACTACTTGGCTTGGTGCTGAGGTGCAGTAAAGATTCTGAGGCACGGCAATTTATACCGATATAGTTTTCTTTTGAATGAAACATGGAAAAAAACACGCTAATCTGACTTTGAGGAAGACCCCACTGATTTGTTGCATTACCATGATCTTGCTCAGAAATACTGTTATTTATTTAAGTTCATTATACAGTGACAGCCAAAGTAAACTTTCGAATAGCATCACCAATCCCCTAGTATTAAAGATCAAGTTTCCCCGACTAGGCATTGTACCTGAGAGTGACATGACCTCTTGTATTTTTTTTCCTGGTACTTTATGTATAGGTATTAAGCATAGGTAAATACTTAATAGAATACCATTAATAACAATAGCACTCGGTTGCTAGACAAAAGGATTTGAATGTGCTTTGAATATATATGATATGGTAAATATTTTTGTCCAGAAATGCTTTTTTAATACAGTATTTAAAAATGTCGCCAATCAGTGTTTATTAATCTTATTTGGTCCTCAAAAAACTCATATCTAGTGACTAGGTTCAGATAATACACTTAATCAGACCAATACAAAACCTAATAATTGTATTTGCATTGTATCTTTTCTTCACTTTAACCTTCTCGTAACACATTGAACCCTATTCAGTCACAGACCCAAAGATCCATTTATGTTGATGATCAAACCATTCACAACAAAAGTTCTTCACTCCATTCTGAGTTTGCAACAGTATAAATGCAAATGGGTTTATCCCCCAAAGCCCAATTCCTTCTGCAAGAACCTCTTTTATCCTTGAAATTATGTCTTCTTCTCTGGATCTCACCCCCACTCCTATTTTTCTGAGTCAATAAACGTGGCTACTAGTTTACCAACCTCGAAGACTCGTTCTAGTGCCATCTGTCCCTTGTTTACAAAATGGTTGTCACTGGTGTGAAAATTAGAGATTTCTACCTAATCAGCTTCAACATTAGAGGAATAACAACTTATTTCAATATATTTAAAGCATAAAACTAGGCAGAAAAACTGGTTAGATACTAGATGCTGCCTGTCAGTGCTGAATCCTAGTGACTGCCTGTACAAGTCACTGCAGTTTTGTTGCAAGATTTCAGAAGTGGTTTGTCACTGCCTCCTTCCTAGGCCTGTGAGAGAATAACAGGCCCAAGATTACACAGCTGGCTTTGTGCCTAAGGCAGGACTACAGGACAACAGCAGTTGAGACAGATATTTCCATTGCTAAACAATGCAGTCCTAAAATGTGGTGTTGTGTGATTGCTTTGCTTACAAATGACAATCCCTGCAGTTTCTGTGCTGCCATTAAGCAAATTAAGCGAGGATCGTGGTTCATTAAGCAATAACTATCTCACAACTTCTTGCCATTTTCCAAGAATCAAAATCAGTGGGGAGGCTAGCATGAAGTTGCAAGTCCAAATGTTTTGCAAGCATTTACCAAGAAGTTCATTACCTTAGGAAATTCTAGCTAAGCCTCTTTCTGGATTGACACGTAGAAGAAATCTTTGGAAGATTATTGTTCATCACATATAGGAAAAGCCACTTCTTCTAGTAAAAAAACACACAATCTTTTTAGAGATTTGTATATCAAAGCAAGCACCTTGAATTTAATTTGGAAAAATATGTGTAAGCAATATAGTTTTGCCAAAATAAATGAAAATGTTGAGAAGCATCCAACAGATCATGGTTGTCACAAATGTGTTTTTCAAAAGGCAACTGGGCTTTTTTGTTTTTTTCCTTGAAAATGTTTCGCTTCTCATCCAAGTTCACAACATTTTCAAAGAAAAAACAAAAAAAAGTCCGGTTGTCTTTTGAACAGCACCATTAGGATCCCAATCAATCTTAATAACTTCATTTCACTATTAAAAATATAGAGGATAGAAATAAACCTTGTGACACTTAACAGCTCAATAAATGGAACACAGCCATAATATTCAAGACACTGTTCAGGAAACAACCTTTGAGATAGGAGTAAAACAAAAACAAAGCTCACTTTCAATATCCAGCTGAAGACAGTGTATGAGAATTATATAAAATGGTAATTAGACATCCAGAGAAATAAGCTTTGCTGAAAGAAAATTGGAATTGTATCCAGGAAGGAAAAAATCTTCTCACCAACCTTTAGATTTAGAATGTTTTGAAACCGTTCCCAGGAATATATATATGGAATAATTATTGGTACTGAAAATTCAATTTGTCTCTAGTTTGAGGTCAGCATGCCTTAAACCAGAGGTGTCAAACTCACGGCCTGCGGACTGGATGCGTCATATGCTGGCCATGCCCACTCCTGGTTTAGCAAAGGGGAAAAAAGTTCCGATACATCACATGACGATGGCGTGACGACATGAGTTTGACACTTCTGCCTTAAACAATTAATTGCAAGAGAACAATTGGTGGATAGGGATATATCTGTCTGCTGCTTGCAGATACTCCAGAGGTCATTTGGTTGAGAATCAAACCACTGGACTTAGATAGGTCTTGCCCTGCTTCATCATGGCTAGTATGTAATGATATGGAAGCTCAAGTCTTGTTTAAGAAGAATGAACATGATTTTTCCAAAAGTATCTTTTCTTTTAATCAATTGAAATATTAACAAAAATGATATTGGATAGGATTATACACTGTGCTATGCCATAATGCAGTGCTGGCTGAGGGATTCTGGGAGATGACACATCTTAAAGTTGCTGAGGTAGAGAAACAGTGCCCTAATACATTTGCTTGATGTTAGTTTAAATGTTGTGTAACTTAGGACATTCTCCCATTAGTGATTCAATGTTTGAAAGAATACTTTGTTGTTGTGCCAAAGTGAGGGGAGACTTTATAACACTCTTTATCTGTGATGGCGAACCTATGGCATGTGTGCCGGAAATGGCACACAGAGCCATCTCTCCAGGCACGCCAGCTGTCGCCCGTTGCGCTTCTGGGTTCCGGTGTGTACATGCGTGCCAGCCAGCTGGTCTTTGTGCATGTAGGAGTGCCGGAAACCGGAAGAGCAGCTCCCCGGCATGCATGGACGCGGCAGGAAGCTGACCTTCCAGTTTCTTGCATGCGCATGTGCACTGGCCAGCTATCTTTGTGTGCACATGCGCACCAGAAACTAGAATATCATGTTGCCAGTGCGCATGCACACGCTGGAAGATGGAAGCTCAGCTTCCTGGTGTACACATGCCTGTTGGGAAACTGCTCTTCCGTTTTGCGGCGCTCCTGTGCCTGCACACTGCAGAGCTGCTCTTCTGGTTTATGGCGCACCCCCCCTGCTCCCCTTTTGGCACTCAGTGCTGAAAAGGTTCACCAACACTGCTCTATATGACTGGATGGTGCTACGAAGACACCATAAGTTGCTAGCAGGGAAATAGCCTTAGTTACATTGTTAGAAATTTATATAATTATCAAAAAATCACAGCTTTTGGTTTTTCCATAATAATATGAACAAGTCATTTCTATAAAGAGCTATCAATCTAATCTACCTGCAGGACTATCTGCCTCAAATAATCAGGGGAGAGAGGGCACGTTTATACTTTCCCCTAATTTATAATTTCCCCTAGCAACTACCATATGGGACATTTTTCCAATGGAGATTTGAATGGCACAATCCCGCCTTTCAGGAAAGCAGTTAAAATGGAGAGAATAGTGAATATTTCTTATTTTACTAATAACTACATCACTTATGGCTGCCACGATAGATAACCCTCGCTCCCTTCCTTTCCCTCTTTCATACCTAGCTGTGACATGCCTTCTTCCCCCTCCCTTTGAACACCTAGCTGTGACATTATACTTTTTAAAAAAATGTTTATTCCGTGAATTATTAGACGAAGCGGACGATGAAAGTTACACCATGTATCTAGGTGTTCATTTTGGCTGTCACTCAGATAGTCGGCAGATGAAAAAAGGGTCGCTTATTTCAATCCCCCTCCATAAGGAGCGACCGGCCATCCGCACAGATCTGGAAAATGGCGTCCCCAAGGGGGAAAGCTCGGAGCCTTGATAATAAGATCCGCCCCTCTGTCTCTCTCGTCTTTTCTTCTCTATGGTCTTCCTGGACCTTGACGTTTCGCAGTGCAGGGGCGGCGTCGGCAGTGCCAAAAAAGGCGAGCCACGCCTCGGCCTTCTCCCGGCAAGCTGTGCGGCTGCAGGCAGAGGACTGGCGGGAGCGTGGCCGAGATGGCGTCTGCGGACGGCGTGGTCGAGGAAGCTGTTCCGGCTGCGCGGCGCAGCAGGTGAGGAGGAATCAAGGGCGGGTAGAGCGAGCGCAGGCGGGCATCGCAGGCGGATCCCGAGCGAGTTCGGTGCCGTCCCTTGTCCGCCTCCCCTTGGAAAGTCCCGTCCGCCACCTCCCGGTTTAAAATTTCCTCTCCACAGTCACGGCCACGTACTTCTTCCGCCTCTCGTTGCATTGCCTTAGTAGCCCTTCCTAAGCTCGGAGAGACACGTTGGGAGAGCGGAGCCCCGGATGCTTCCGGAGACGTGGGGCATGACAGGGTGGGGCGGATTGCAGGTGGCTGGGATGAATGGTGTGAATGAGTTTTTAATGTTTTTAATTTTTCAATGTCTTTTTATAATGATTTTTTTAAATGTATTGTGAGCCGCCCTGAGTCTTCGGAGAGGGGCGGCATATAAATTAAATTAAATTAAATTAAATGAAGTGCAGGAGAAGCTTGCACCATGCATGATTTCTTTTGTCGGGCGGGGGCGAGATAGTCTTCCCTAACAATGTGTCGGTTTTTCCCTCCGGCTCAGCGGGAGCAGAGGAGCCGCCCTCAACAGCCTTGTCGGCCGCTTGCCGCTCACGCCGGCGCTTTCCCCACGGAAAAGGACCACCAGCCAGTCGAAAACGGAGCCGCCGCTGCTTCGGACCAGCAAGCGCACCATCTACACGGCTGGGCGGCCGCCCTGGTACAACGAGACTGGCACTCCTTTCAAAGAAGCCTTTGTCATTGGTAGGGGAATCCTTTTGTGGCTGTTCCTTTTGTCCTGTTAGGTGGGGGGAGGATCTGCTTGAAAATCCTTACGAAATTTATCCAGCAACTGGGAGCTGACAACTGGAAGTGCCAGTTTCCCCTACTGGTTTCTAATTTTCTGTACCATATTTCCCCTCCCGCCTTGAAAAGTTGCAGCTTCTTGCATAGAATGAGAGTATTATACTGAAATAAGGGTGTTTTTTTTTATTTATTTAAATCGGGTACTCTGCTGGTTTTGGCCATATTGGTAGTACCACGCCTGCTGGGTTTAGTTGTAATGTGCTATGTGGGCCACATCTATGCTTGCCACTCTGAGTAAGGCTGTTGGTGAGATCTGCATGCTGGCTTCTTTCCCACTAGGGAGGTTGAAGTGGAGATCATTGGAAATCCAGGCACACTAGACAGTAAAGAATAAGAAGTCTTAGGGCGGTTCCTCCAGATTGTCCTCTTCTCGTTAGCTTGCGTTAGTGGTGTTTTCGTCTTTCCCAGGCTTGTGTGGTGGCAGTGCGTCTGGCAAGACTACAGTGGCCAACAAAATCATTGAAGCACTAGATGTGCCTTGGGTGGTGCTCCTCTCCATGGATAGCTTCTACAAGGTGGGCTGGTTAAAATATCTTGGCCCAACTCCCTCAACTCCACCCCTCTCAAAGGCAGAGATGGGAAGAAGTGAGAAAATTGAAGTCTAGGAAACCACCTCTACAGTACTGATCCAGCCTGTTCTCTTCCCTGTTTTCTGATGTCTCTGGTGCTCTTCCAGGTGCTGAACAAAGAACAGCAAGAGCAAGCTGCTTGTAATGAATACAACTTTGACCATCCTGATGCCTTTGATTTTGACCTGCTCATCAGTGTCCTACAGAAGCTGAAAGAGGGCAAGAGCGTTAAAGTTCCTGTTTACGATTTTACCACACATAGCCGAAGCAAGGAGTGGGTATGTAGGTGCAGGAGGATGTCCCGCTATTCCTAGCAATTTTTAGAAATTAAAAGGCTTCCCCTCCACTCTTTTCTTTGAGGCTGAATTAGCCCCATAAGGTATTCGTGACCTGGTATCCTGTAATTGGCTAAAACTGCACGAATACATAGAATTTTGGTTGGAAGGGTTGTTATAGGCCAGATGCAAGTCACCCAAGCTCCTCTAGAGAGTGCAGAATCATGGCTCCAAGGATCACCAATAGTGAAAATTTCTAGGAGTGGTTCACATGTGGAAGCCTTAGATTCCTCATTTGTGAGGTAGGTTTTCTATTCTAACGTGGAACTGAAATATTTCCCTAAAATGACTGTATATTTTTTACATAAAGACATTAAATTGATCTGCCTCAATGTTTCTCAACTGTGCAGACTTCAGCTCCTAGAATTCTCCATTCATTCCACATATTTTCAAACTGCTGAGGTTGAGAAATTCTTGCTCTACCTTATCAGTTTAGTTTCTTCGGCTATGGGAAAAAGGAGTTTCTCACAATCAGGAAAAATAATGCAACCTAATTCTATCCCTGTTTTTATAAAAAGGACTATTTGTGCACTTCCCATTTATTTCATTACAACTTCTTTCAGTCGATGAAAATAATGTAGTGTTTAAATTAAAAAGATGTTCTTTATCTTAGCTACTACGTTTCCCTGAATTGGCAGACATTTCTGCTTTTGGAGCCTGATGAGGTTCAAATGCTGCAGGATCCTTTGGAAGGAAAACTGCATTTGACTAACTATTCACAGAATACAGTAGGGATGTGGTGTACGCAGCACAGTAGGGATGCAGTGGCTCAGTGGCTAAGACACTGAGCTTGTTGATCGAAAGGTCGGCAGTTCAGCGGTTCGAATCCCTAGTGCCGCGTAACGGAGTGAGCTCCCGTTACTTGTCCCCGTTTCTGCCAACCTAGCAGTTCAAAAGCATGTTAAAAATGCAAGTAGAAAAATAGGGACCACCTTTAATGGGAAGGTAACAGCGTTCCGTGCGCCTTTGGCATTTAGTCATGCCGGCCATATGACCACGGAGACGTCTTCGGACAGTGCTAGCTCTTCGGCTTTGAAACGGAGATGAGCACCGACCCCAAGAGTCAGGAATGACTAGCACATATGTGCGAGGGGAACCTTTACCTTTACCTAATCACAGAATGTCTCACTTTGTATTTTCTGTTCTAGTTCACGAAATGAATTCCATCTTGGTTTTTGAAATGCAAGTTTTTCTAAAGCAGTTTCTAAGTAAAATCAAAATAGAAGAATAGAATTGTAATATGATCTGAAAAGAAAGCTCACCAATATTTTTCTGATGTCATTAGTTGATTTTCTGAGTCCATCTGGAGTAGGTTATGCTGTTTTTGGTATGGTAATGTAGTATTCATTGAATGCCTGATCCATTTCATTTTGGGGACTGAAGACAGTTAATAGAATTATATTTCTGCTCATCAGTCTTATTTCACCTACTTGCTAGTGTAGGGGGTCTGTAGGTGGAGGAAGTTAGCAATCTGAGGATGAATATATTTCATTCACTGCAAGAAAGGTGGCCAATAGATAATATTTCTGGAATACAGTGGACTATTCCATTTTTGTTTAAGAGAAATGACTATCACCCTTTCCTGAAATCTGATGATCACAGGATGAAAATGGTGCTGCTAGAGGCTTTTTTGTCTCCGTAGTTGATTTGAGGGCTGTATCTCTACTCCATTAGCAACTATTACATTTGAAATTGTGGAGTCTTGCGGTACAAGAAAGAATTTAGTGTGAAAGGGAGGGCATCGTATTGGAATTGAGCTTGGTTCCTTGTAAGTAAGAAGTTTCCCTGTACCCAGGAAGAGTGTCTTAGATCTGACTTACTTCTGGGTTCTGATTTCTCTCCCTGGCTTTGACGCATTATTTCTCTTTTCTTTGCAGAAAACTATCTATGGGGCCAATGTAATTGTATTTGAAGGTATCATGTCATTTGCCAATAAGGAGCTTCTACAGGTACTAAATAGGGCAAAGATAACACACATGAGTAGGACATGGACCAACTTGGGTAGATGGGCTCCCTATTTAATTTGTATCATAAATGCAACCATTTTGTGGGAAGCAACTTGTAAACGAGTCCCTCAAAGATGCAGGCATTTGAATAAGTTCTAAGATAAGGCTTTGCCCAGATGCCTGTGTCTCTAGTTTTTCCCTTCCTTGTGACTTCTGCAGCTCCTGGACATGAAAGTTTTTGTGGACACAGATTCAGATATCCGGCTTGTGCGGCGGTTGAAGCGGGACATCATGGAACGTGGGCGGGACGTGGCAGGTGTCATTAAGCAGTACAGCAAGTTTGTGAAGCCAGCCTTTGAGCAGTACATTGAGCCTACAATGCAGGCGGCAGACATTGTGGTGCCTCGAGGTGAGAGGAGGAAGAGGAATGGCTGTTGATTTGTTCAAGGTGCAACATAGGGCTGTGTTATGTGCCAATACTCACTGTAGGATACTCGGGAATTTTGAGTATGAACACAGACAGAGTGCCCATTTCATGTCTAAATATGACTACAATTTAGTCTCCTGGTTTCTAGCCCAATAACTTAGCCACCACACCAAAAATGGTTCTCATAAAAGGTCTGAAAACTAACGAGGTTAAAAACAAATATTAATCTCTATGACCAAGGGAACCGTTTGCACCTTAAAGACCTTTAAGGAGCGTTAAAAAAACCAGACAGATTGATTTATGGCATATAGGAAATTAAAAAAAGATGAGACCTGCCATTGAGCTATGAACGGGAATGGTGAAATATTACCTAAAGCAGGGGTCTCCAACCTTGGCAACTTTAAGACTTGTGGACTTCAACTTCCAGAATTCCTCAGCTGGAGACCCCTGACCTAAAGTGCAGATATTAATACTTCAGAACCTCTTTGGTTTTTCAAACTTCCTTTTTTTTTTCTTTCAGGTGGAGAGAACTTTGTGGCTCTGGACTTGATTGTTCAGCATGTTCATAGCCAATTGGAAAAGGTGAGGAGAAGTAGTCTTGGGGAGGGAGAAAACATCACTGCTGCAGAAAGCCCCGTTCCCACATGGTTACTCCTCCTTGTTGCCCAGTATCTGCTTTTTGTTATTATAGCCCAAAGGATTATTCACTCCCTGCCAAGAATTTATCCTTTCCCCATATCCTGGAAAGGCATCCAATTCCTGGCCGTGGCTCATGGGTGTCCCTAGAATTCTTCCACTCCCGATGGCCCCACCTACCACATGGTTTTTGTCCCCAAATTAGTAAGCAATAGGGAGTTGGGGAAGAATGGCGCCACCATTTTATTATTTTAGGCTTGGCCTTGGGGCAAATGTTGCTGTGTGCAGTGACCGGCTGTTCTGTTTTGTTTCACTTCCCACTACTCCCTGCCTTGTAATACTGCCTCCCGGTGTGGGCTCCTCCTCCTACCGCCCAGCGTGAAATCACAGTCAGGTATGGTGGCACCCTTAAAGAAATAGAGCTAGATCCTTCCTCCTCTTCTCTTCTCTCCCCCACCTTCTTCATCTTAGTATTGTTCTCTGACACCCATCAAGCCAGCCAGTGGGAGAGCAGCTGGGTGTTGGGGAAGAATTGCTGGCAGTATCTGGTGGGAATAGGCAAGGAGGTCAATACAGGCAATTGTTTAGGCTGAAGATTCGCTAATGGGCATGTGCAAATCTCTGGCCGCTTTGGAATCTCACTAGAGCATGTTAGATTTGTGCTCTTTTTACTGACAGTTCAACTTTGCTGTCTTTCTTTAGAATCAGACTTCTAAGTAGAGCTCTCAGGAAGGGTGCTGCTTGATAGTCTCACTTTCTCCTCCATGGCAAGGAAATATTCATTGCCAACGCTATTATTTTGTGTATTATAATAATATACACAATAATATATGGGGCTGCATTGAATGGGGTTTCAATACATTTTACATTCCAGTCACATTTCCACAAGTGTAATTTGCATACCAAAATGGTATGCCTTTCTAGCGAGGTTGAGATGGAGAAAGAGGAAGTTCATTCAGTTGTTTAAGACTACTTGCAGTGAGCTACTGGATCCCAGCTGCTCTCCCTGTTTTGGTACTGTGGGAGCGTTCTGCTGTTCCTCTGCCCCATGTCTCAGGCAGGAAGCTGCTGCCTTGTTGCCCCTCCTAACGCACTCTGTCTATCTGTCTCTCTTCTGTCCTGCTGGGCCTGGGCACCTGCATCAGAGGAAGCTACGCTGGCATATGTGAGGACACTTGGTCTCCTTTGGCTATTTCCTGCTGCACCTTCCTCTCCTTGTGTACTGTGTTCCATTTTGAGGGGATGGTGGGAATGGAACAAGGCTGGGGGGGGAGTGTCTTTCTGCTCCTGTGCTCCTGTTTTTTAATCCAGTAGTAGAAAGATAACTTAGCTGTGCCTGACTTTCAAGAGTGGGCATTGGAGACTTTGGTGTGCTGTTATTGCTGAGTGAAGTTAGAGCAATTTATAATTGCTCATAAGCGGTTTCACTCCTAGGTTACACTATTTGTCTTATTAGAAGCAGGGAGGGGAACCTGAATTTTCAGAATTTATTTTGGATCCAATTTTGTTTCTTTGTGCACAAATGTTGGGAGGCGGGAGGGACCATATGAGCAGAAACGATATTTTGCATGCAGAGCTGTTATTGTAGGGCCAGCAGATATATTTGTTTTTTTCCTCCATGTGACTCATCATTCTTATTTTTGCACAGAGCAGCCTTGGCCTCTGCTCATCAGGGACAACCATTGCCAACAACCTTAAGTGTCTTGGAGAGCACACCGCAGGTTCGGGGGATGCACACTATTATCAGGTACTAGGCAAGATATATCAGTGGAGGTATGCTTGCCTCTGAGACAGGCTATAGGCCTTTGGAGAGGGAAAAATCCAACAGTTTGTGTTTCAGCAGCTACAGAGGAACATGAGAGCTGCTTAAGGAAAAGACGGGTTTCATGAGCGAATGCAGACCTATCAAAAGTCAATGGGGACAGGCTTGCTTTAGATAAAGATGTTTTCTGGGATGGAATCCTAGCATGGAATAATATTACTTTTACTTCTGTTTGCTTTGCAGGAACAAGGACACCAGCAGGGATGAATTCATATTCTATTCCAAGCGCCTCATGCGGCTGCTGATTGAACACGCCCTTTCCTTTCTACCACTCAAGGTATGTGCTTCTCCCACTCATTTAAGATCACACACAAATACTTATCTTACAATTGCCAACAGAGATGCCACAGACCATCTAACCTTCTATCTGCATATGGGGTGATTCTTGTGTTTTTTGGTTCAAGCATGCCTCAGCAAGTAGCCTTGTGTGGTTGCCGATTTGGCCTTGTCAGCTCCTACTGCTCCTACCGACAATTGTCTTGACTTTTTCAGCCAGTAACTGTAGAGACACCACAGGGGACAATTTATGATGGAAAGAGATTTCACAGGCAGCGGGTGAGTGATTTTTCTTTTTATTGCCTCAAAGAGGTAGTATCTTTGTAGGACAGAATAAGGAAAAGGTGGTGAATAGACTAATAGAATAATAATAGAATAATTCGAAAGGACTTTGAAGGTCTTCCAATCCAATCTCTTGCTCAAGCAGGAAACCCTATACCAGTGATGGCAAACCTTTTCCAGACCGAGTGCCCAAAGAGCGCGCATGTGCGTGTGCGCAAACCCCCCAAATTCAATACCTGTGTGGGCCCCCCTGCACGCACCCCACCCCTGCACGCATGCATGCCCCGCCCCCTGTGCATACTCAGCAGAGACCCAAAGACCAGCTGGCTGACAGGAGGCACGTGCACATGCGCGGCGGAGCTGAGCTGGGGGAATGGCTTGCATGGCCACAGAGGGCGCAGCGTGCAACCTCTGGCACGTGTAGGTTCGCCATCACTGCCCTATACCGTTTCATACAAATGATTGTCCAATCTCTTCTTAAAAACATCCAGTGTTGGAGCACCTACAACTTCTGGAGGCAAGTTGTTCTACTCATTGTTTTGTCAGGAAATGTCTCCTTAGTTCTAGGTTGGTTCTCTCCTTGATTAGTTTCAAGGAATTGCTTCTTGTCCTGCCTTCAGGTGCTTTGGCGAGTAGGTTGACCCCTTCTTCTTCATGGCAGCCCCTTAGATATTGGAACATCACTATCATGTCAGCCCAGTCCTTCTTTTCATTAAACTGGTGAAAATCAGTCTGTTTTCTACAGATTAGGCCTTTCAGCAAGTCTTGCTTAGAAAAGTCTACTTTGGTTAGTAGCTGCTGGAAATGCAGCTGGGATGTTCTTCATGCAATCAAGGCCTCCGTCACTGTGTTACAAACACATAGCAGTGTTTTGCAGCATTAGATTTAAATGGTTGCTTATTGACAAAGATCTTGAAAGAAAGATGTTTTACCCTTTTATAGATCACTGGAATCTCCATCCTGCGAGCAGGTGAGACCATGGAGCAGGCTCTTACAGCTGTCTGCAAAGATATTCGCCTGGGAAAAATTCTCATCCAAACCAACCATGACACAGGGGAACCTGAGGTGAAAAAATGGAATGGGGTCTTTTGGGAGGAGGGAGTTAGATAGTTTTGAGATGGGGCCGAGTTGTGGATAAGATTCTTCTTCTGAATTCTTTTCTGCTCTTGCCAGCTGCATTATCTCAGGCTGCCCAAAGAGATCAGTGAAGACTACGTCATCCTGATGGATAGCACTGTGTCTACGGGAGCTGCTGCCATGATGGCCATTCGGGTGCTATTGGTATGTTGAGGCCCCGTTACATGAGATGAGTGGTTGGTTGGTTGGAATTCTTCTGTTCTTGATGTTGTAAGCCAAGACAGACTGATGAATACAGCTAATATGGATTGCATACATGAGATTGATGATTAAAGGTGTCACTGAAAATGGGTTTGGAAAACAATTTGACCTGCAGTCTGGATGGAGTCATATAGGGACTTCTCACAAGTGCTGTATCCCGCAGGATCATGATGTACAAGAGGATAGGATCTTCTTATTGTCTCTGCTGATGGCAGAGATGGGAGTCCATTCTGTGGCTTATGCTTTTCCCCGTGTGCGTATCATCACCACAGCTGTGGACAAGAGAGTCAATGAGGAATTCCACATCATCCCTGGCATTGGTAAGCATTGCATTGTGGTTTTCTGACCCTCTGTTTTGCTCTGGCTGGTTTGGTGAGCTTGAGTGGCACAGATCAGGCATTGTCTACCTGTAGCATTCATGTTTTGATAAGTGATTTTGTTCGGCTGATTTAGCAATCATTTTTGTCTTAGGTGAGGACACTGTAGTCTGCAAGATTAACACTTATTGTTTGATGAAGTATTGTGGGTATTTCCGTGGGCTAGAATGCAACTATTACAAGCATGTAATTCATGTTTTATTAGGGAACTTTGGAGACCGTTATTTTGGCACAGATGCCACCATCCCCTGGTATGAGAATGATGACATGGATTGCTGACCTGATTCTGCTGGACAAGGCTTTATTTCTTGAATATTGGGTGTCTCTTCTTGGCTTGACTACAGGCATAATGCTATTGCCCTGGTCCTTTCTTTTCATAAGTACAAGCTTTACTAGACTTCTCAGCAGTGGTGCAATTTTGATAGCACTTCCTGCTATAATACCTATAAATACCTATAACAGTAACGAATGGAAACATTGCTGCTGCTGCTGCTACTACTACCTTCCCATTCACAGTCTCCTTCATATTTATTGGTATTTATTGCGGCATTTACTCCACTCTAGTACTGCTTCCCATGCTTTCTTTTTTTTAAAAAAAATGCAGTACCTTTATTATAAAATAGTATAAAGAATATAAGAATTCGTTTGAAATGTGACTTCACTGTGGGCAGCAGCATCATAGGCGCAAGCAGTGGAAGTGAGATGAGGCGTTGTTCTGGGAGGCTTCCAAGGCGTCCGGCTCCATTCTTCCTTCAGGGACCTTTCTCCTGGATTTGACTTCAGGAGGCTCCACGAAAGGATCTCTTTGGGTCACCTGGTTGCTTTCATCCAGCTTCCATGTGTAGCTTCAGCAGCATCTTGTTCCCCTATCAAGGATGTTGTAAGAAAGTGTATCCCTGCAAATCCATTGGATTTTTTCACTGGCCCGGTGAGCTACTTGTGCCCTTTTATATGTGTTTCCTCACTGGCTGATGTGCAATGCAAGCAGGCTTCTGCACGTTGGCCTGGGGTTCCTCTCTAAAATAATTTGATGCTGACTTATTCAGGATCCTGTGATCGTTGACAGCTGTGTATAAATTGCACTTGTCCTCCCTAATTCGTGACTGCACAAGCATTTGGGACCATAGTGTTGCTATAAGGGACCTCATGCTAGAGGCAAGTGCTCTATGCCTAAAGTCAATACTACTATTAGTGAAAGCCAGAGCTACATTTGCCTTCCAAACCAAAAGTGGCTACTGGCCTAACATTAGGCCCCCAACCTGCATTCCCTTATCCTGATCTGTTTTTCAGTACTGTACCCAGCTGACTTGTTTTTTTTTTTTAAATGCCATAATAAAAGATTTACAGCGCAACTTGGCTTTATCTCTTTGTAATTAGGATCTCTTAGCTGGATGTCTTTCAGGTGAAGAGTGGGAAATACGGGGATGTCATTTGCATCCTATTTGCTCAATCTATTTAATTTCACAAAAAGATTGAAAAAATCATAGTTGCAGAATAAAAATTAAATCATGCAATACAACTGAATTATAGAATATTTTAGAAGAGCTACAAATTATAATTAGTGCCTGGGTGAGGTGTTGTACTGTTATCCAGTGACCAGGAGTTGAGCTCAGCTCTATGTCATCTAACATTGCTGCCAATATTCAAGGTTTGGTAAACTGAGGAGAGGACACAAGCACTTGGTTACTAGATTGACACTGGCAGGATCTGTTGTTCAGTAGGAACAAAACCGTTGCAAAACAATGTCTCCAATCCCTACCCTCTTGGTCTAGAAGGAAATCATTGTATGAAGTGCCAGGAAGGCAATACCCTCTATTCAAGTACAGACGGGTAATTCATTAGAGCAACAAATATTTTCAATTCCATATCCAAATTGGGAAAGGACCAAAACAGTCCACTTCAGGATTATTTACAGACGCAATCTTTATGACCTCAAAAAGAGAGACTTTCAAAGTAAAGCAAAAAAAGAGACTTTCAAACCTGTCTTCAAAAGAGGGTGAGGGATTCATCACTGTTGTTCTCAAGACAGAAGTAAATGCTCAGATATTTAAGGTTAAAAAAAAGGTAAAGTTGTGTCCAGTTGTGTCTGACTCTGGAGTGCGGTGCTCATCTCCATTTCCTAGCTGAGGGAGTCAACATCCAAAGATGCTTCTGTGATCATGTGGCTGACATGACTATATGACAAGGTACACAGAAAGTTGCTACTTTCCCACCAAAGTGGTACTTATTTGTCTACTTGCATTTGCTTGCTTTCAAACTGAGGTACTTAACCACCTCTCAATTTCAACCCACACATCTTAGCTGCCTGAAAAGCCAAGAGCAACACAGGTCCATCCCACAGTAGCAGAGCTGCTACTACTAAGAATCTTGTCCATAAGATCTAAAGAAGCCAAAGTAACCCTTCAAGATGTCCCAGTTATGCCACTTGTTCCTGCCGATGTAAAACAAGTGGTCTTATCAGCAAACGGCATGCAAAAATGTCAAAGCATCTTGAAGAGAGATTGGTCACCACCCATTCTTTTCTAGTAAGGTATGAGGGATCTTAAAGTGATCAGATGGCATTCTATCAGCGCAGTAAATGGAGAAGTATGGGTATTCAATTGCTCTTACCTCTACAGTATAGGCCTATACCTATATCGGGTGAAATGCTCCTGGTTCAGACCGAATCGCCTGATCCGGTAGCGATGGCGGCGGGTGGTTTGGAGAACCAGTAGCAAAAATCCCTGCGCCCCCCACCATGCCCAGCTGAGGCGCACGATCAGAGGCTTTTTTTTTTTTTTTTTACTTTTAAAAGCATTTTTTCTAAAACCTCTTACAAAAAAAAAATGCTTTTAAAAGAAAAAAAAAAAAAAAAAAAGCCTCTGATTATCCTGTGGCTCAGCTGGGATAGTCAGAGGCTTTTCAAAGCATTTTTTTCTGCAACATCTTGGCCGAAGAGGTGATTTAAAAAAATGCTTTGAAAAGTCTCTGACGATCCCAGCTGAGTTGCCTGATGGCAGAGGCTTTTCAAAGCATTAGAAAAAATGCTTTGAAAAGTTAAAAAAAAAAAAAGTTGGCCATGCCCACCCAGTCACATTACCCCACCACCAAGCCACGCCCACAGAACCGGTAGTAACAAATTTTACATTTCACCCCTGACCTATATGTGTGTTTCATCAAATTCCAGTTTCTGCCAGCAATGTTCAATGCATCACTTCTGCTATGTATCCCAGAGCTACTCAGTAAAACATGGAACCTTCTAGGATCTGCAGTTGAGAGGCCACTTGGGGGCAGTTGCATCTGATGTCCTCATAACTACATTCTAGTGACTGACAAATCTTATGATGGAACTGCCCAAATTTTATGGGATAATTCCCAGGCGTATATTTTTTTAAAAAAATAAAAATCTATAAAGTGACTAGAACAAGTTATTCATCTTCAATCTGCCCTTGTGAAGCCAGTGATAACTGATAAAATGGATATAATAAAAGTCAAGCCCGTTTCCTCTCTTTGCCCAATTCCATCAGACCCAAATTGACCTACCTTGTCCCAGATAAAAGCCCCCTGCAATCCCATTTAACCAAAGGAGTAACCCTTAACAAGGGAATTGCAAGGTAGAAAAATCCCAACTTGCCATTTTAGCTGCTAATGACCTCAGCATTCAATCTCCTTCCCCAGCTATGTTCCCCTCCTGAAAGGCCCACTGTCTAATAGAAGATCTAACCCCACGGGCAGGATAAGGATCTACCTAGTTTTCCAAACTGGATAGCCAACCAGATCTCAGCTTCTGAGATTCCCTCACCTTCTATAAAAATCAAAAATTTCCATTGTTCAGAATCTTCCTCTTGTAAAGGTGCTTCCCAATAATCCTTACAATAAACATACAGTAGTTCTCAATGTTGTGCTCCTTCAACAGACTGAATCCACAACATAGTGAAGATGGTTTAACCTCATGCTTTGATAGCAAGCAAATATACCTGCAATTATAGTTTATTGCAGATAATTGTTTCCTTTGAGTTATGATGTCTGATTTATTTTGCTTATAGGAGATCTCTAACATACAGTAAAAAGGTTGATGCAGGTAGTCCTCGATTTATGACCACAATTGAGCCCAACATTTCTGTTGCTAAGTGAAAAAAAAAAAAGAAAAAAAAAGAAAAATTTGTTAAGTGAGTTTTGCCCCAATTTTTTGCCACAGTTGGTAAGTGAATCACTGCAATTCAGTTACAGTTTTTAAGTGAATCTGGCTTCCCCATTGACTTTGTTTGTCAGAAGGTCGCAAAAGGTGATCACAAGACCCTGGGACACAGCAACTGTCATAAATATGAACCAGTTGCCCAGCATCTGAATTATGATCATGTGGCCAAGGGGATGCTGCAACAGTCGTAAGTGTGAAAAACGGTCATAAGTCTTTTTTTTCTGTGTTGCTGTAACTTCGAACGGTTACTAAATGACCTGTTGTAAATCGAAGACCTCTATTCCGCAATGTTACAGGCCTACAAAGTTATAATCTAGGGAAGCTGCTCTCTGGAGTAAACTGAAAGTTCACCCCGTTTGGATTTGCAATTTGTCAAATCCGAAGACTATTAAATATCCATGGAGACATGATACATCCAGTCATTCAGGTCATGGTTATCCCAAAGATGTTTCTTCAGCTTCTTCAAGATGAGAAGCTAAACGTCTTTTAAAAAAAAACCCAGAAAATCCAGTCGCCTCTTGAAAAAGCACCTTTGGGACAGTGGTGAAATTCAATTTTTTTTTATTACCGGTTCTGTGGGCGTGGGTTAGTGGGTGTGGTGTGGCCTGGTGGGTGTGGCTTGGTGGGCAAGGCAGGGGAAGGATACTGCAAAATCTCCATTCCTACACCACTCCTAGGGGAAGGATATTGCAAAATCTCCATTCCCACCCGACTCCTAGGGGAAGGATATTGCAAAATCTCCATTCCCACACCAGTCCAGGGGAAGGATACTGCAAATCCCCATTCCCTCCCCACTCCTGGGGGAAGGGTATTGCAAAATCTCCATTCCCATCCAACTCCAGGGGAAGGATACTGCAAAATCTCCATTCCTATCCCACTCCTGGGGGAAGGATGTTGCAAAATCATTCCCACCCCATTCCAGGGGAAGGATACTGCAAAATCTCCATTCCCACCACGCTCCAGGGGAAGGGTACTACAAAATCTCCATTCTCGCCCCACTCCTGGAGGAAGGATATTGCAAAATCTCCATTCCCATCCCACTCTGGGACCAGCCAGAGGTGGTATTTGCTGGTTCTCCGAACTACTCAAAATTTCCTCTACCGGTTCTCCAGAACCTGTCAGAACCTGCTGGATTTCACCCCTGCTTTGGGACGAAGGCTGTTACCATGTTTCCCTGAAAATAAGACCCTGTCTTATATTTTTTTAAACCCTGAAATGAGCACTTGGCCTTATTTTCGGGGGGGTATTATCATTCTGGGGCACGTGGAGCAAGAAGGGGCTCCTCTTGCCATCTTACCTGATTTCCAGCTCTGTCTTCCTAACCCTAACCAGAGGAAATGGCAGGGACCAGCTGCGCATGCGGTTTAATATTTTCGGTAAGGGCTTATTTTCATGGGGGGGGGGCTTATTTTAGTGCATGTGCTCAAAAGCCCAATTGGGCTTATTATCCGGGGAGGTCTTATTTTTAGGGGAAACAGGGTAGTAGTTTTGATTGTCCACCCATGCTAAACCAGGGTTTTAACCACGACTGAATAAACCACGATTGGTTGAATTCATACACTGTGGTCAGCCAAAATCAAATACCTATAACAGTAACAAGAGTTGGGAGGGACCTTGGAGGTCATCTAGTCCAACCCCCTGCTCACGCAGGAGACCTGTACTAGGGGGATTCGAACCGCCAGCCTTCCCTGATCGACAAACTCAGTGTCTTAGCCACTGAGCCACCTAGTCAGGCGGAACTATAATAAAACGCCAAGCTACCAAGAACAGTCTCATCTCTCTCTCTCTCTCTCTCCATTTCAGCTTGAAGCAAGAAAAAAAAAATCTCAAAAAAGACTTCAGCTATACCAGTGTTTCTCAACCTTGGAAGCTTGAAGATGGGTGGACTTTAACTCCCAGAATCCCCCAGCCAGCGTTGCTGGCTGGGGGATTCTGGGAGTTGAAGTCCACCCATCTTCAAGCTACCAAGGTTGAGAAACACTGACTATACGAAGAGCGTGCGAGCTTCTTACCCGACGTCTACGACGTACGAGCTCCAGCGGAATTCCTCCCGCGGCGCAAACTCAACGCTTGGCACGTCTTTCATCCAAGCACTTCCGCGTTTGCGCACTGAGCACCCTGAAGGCCGGTCGGGCCGGTCGCTTTCCGTGAGCGGAAGAAACGAGCCAGCGGGTA